AATCTGTCCTGGGGAACCACCCCAGGGCCGTGGGAACACGGTGACAATGGGGACAGTGTGACAACGGGGAACACCGCCTTCGTCCCAGCCCGGCGGCACCCACCGGGGGCGGGGGGGCGTGTAGGGACGGATCCGGGGGCCGTGGGGACAGCCCCGGAGGGGACAGCCCCGGAGGGGACAGCCCTGGAGGGGACAGCGGTCAGCTGCCGTGTCCGGAGGAGGGATGGGGAAGGAAGGGGAGGACGGATGGACGGACAGATGGATGGGGGATGGACGGACGGACCGGAGGGATCTGGGCCAGCGAAGCTCCGGGGGGCTCGGAGCACACAGGTGACCCCACCCCCCTCAGGTTCCCCCCCCAGGACACGCTCCCTCTGCAGCCACCCCTCCCCGGTGACCCCCCTGAGCCCCCCGGCTCCGATGTCCCTCCCAGAGCCCCCGCCCTCCCCCCGGTGACGCCCCCGGCCCGTGTCCCGCAGACCATCGCGGACTCGAGCCCCATGAAGCGCTCGGCGTCGCTGCTGGGCCACTCCCGCGCCCGCGGCGTTCGCCTGGACGATTTCTCCCTGGAGCGGGTCCCCCCCGGCGAGGACGGCCAGCGCCACCACCCCCGCCGTGGCCACCGCGGCCACCGCGCCTCCGAGCGCTCCCTCAGCCGCTACACCGACGGCGACACAGGTGCGGCCCCCGCGCGTCCCCTGCGTGGGGACGCGTCCCCGCTCCGGCCTGGGTGTCCCCAGGGCCACCCGTGACCGGTGGCCAGTGACTGTGGCTCCTGGCCCGAGGCCACCGGGTCTGCTCCGGCTGCTGGTGTCGCCTGAGTCACCATCTGCTGTCCCCCAAGGTCCACTGGGCGCCCCCAAATCCTTGGGGACCCCAGAAAACGCCATCAAAAACCCCAAATCCTTCCAGAACTCCTAAAATCTCCCAAGGACTCCTAAAATCCCCCAAGAACATCAAATCCCCGCAAAAACCGCCTCAAGAGCCCTCCACAGGGACCCCAAAACTCCCATAAAGTGACCCCACACCCCAGAGGACCCCCTAAATCCCAGCGGAACCCCAACATCCAATGCAATTCCTACCCCTACCCCCGAAAAAAATCCCCAAATCCAACGAGAACTCCTCAAATCCCCAAGGATTCCCAAAATGCCCCAAACCCGCACCTCAGGGGTCCCCCCACGCCCCCTCCTGACCCCCCCCCTTGTCCCCCCGCTTCCCCAGGGCTGGGCACGGACCTGAGTGTCACCACGCAGTCGGGGGACGCCCCCGCCAAGGAGCGGGACCCCGAGCGGGGGCGGCCCAAGGACCGGCGGCACCGGCACCACCACCACCATCACCACCACCACCACCACGGGGGCGGCGCCGGGGGGGACCGCGACCGCGGCGTGCCCCCCCCCGAGCGCCACGACTACGGGCGGCCCCGCTCCCGGGACCGCCGCTGGTCCCGCTCGCCCAGCGAGGGCCGGGAACACGCGGCCCCCCGCCAGGTGGGTGCCCCCCTCCGCTCCCCCCCCCTCCGCCTCTAGGACCCCCACCGCCATGGGGGGGACAAGGGCTGCACCCCCGGTGTCTTCAACCAAAGACCACCCCCCCGATCCCCTATGGGTGCTGCTCAGGCTGGGGGGGAGGGGGGGGCTGTGGGACCCCCCCCTCGAACTCCAAGGGCCTGTCTGGGTGAGGGGAGGGGGTCCCAGCGCCCCCCGCCCCGCCCGTTCTGCCTGCCCCAGTTCGGTACTGGTGGCGTCCCAGTTACACCAGCAGAGCCCCCTCAGCGCTCCAACATGGGGGGTCCGGCCCCCCCCCCCAGCCTTGGGGAGTTCAGTGCTCACCTTGGGCGTCCAGCCCCCCACCCCTTAGGGGATCCAGTGCTCATCTTGGGGCTTCCAGCCCCCCCAAGCTTGGGGGCCCAGCCCCGACTTTGAGAGTCCAGCCGCCCCCCCCCCAGGAGGGGCAGCACCCAATGGGAGGGTGATGGGGTGGAGAGGACCCCCCCAAAAAAGAGTTTGGGGATGGTGATGGGCGGGGTGGGGGCGGGCAGCGGCGACGCTTCGACCCCTCCAGATGCGCCCCCTCCCCTCCCTGCTCTCGGCCCCTTCCGCGCCCCCCACCCCGCACAGAGCCCCACCCTCGCTTGGCCCCCCCGGCCCCCCCGGCTGCTTGGGGGGGCCCTGCCTTGATTCACCTCTCTGTTTCCCCATCGCTGTGCTTTGGCTGCGCTGTCACGGCGAGGGGTGGCCCAGGTAAGCGGCTCGGGGCCCCCCAAAATC